TTCCTGCCGAAGCACGAGGCGAAGCGAAAGATTACAAAAAAGCTATGGACTGCCTCTCGGAACACTTCAAGCTCAAAAAGAACGCTCTGATGGCCCGACAAACATTTTTAGCGGCTACTCCATTAGCTGGTGAAACCATCAACAATTTTATTACTCGCCTGCAGAAACTAGCAGAACATTGCGACTACGAGGGCGAAAGGGACAATCAGGTGAGAGATCGCGCCATTTCTTTCCTGAAGGACAAAAATCTCAAGTCAAAGTTGTGCTGTGAGGAAACACTGACTCTCGGCAAACTCATGGAAATCGTTAGTCAGTACCACGACAAAGAAGCGCTTATTCTATCCCCGAAAGCCAAGTAAACAGCTTGTCCAGTGATCCAAAACAAGGGGGAAAATGTTGGCGGTGCGATAAAGTGGGTCACTTAACGAAAGATTGCAGTCGCTCACCTGACCACAAGTGTGGAACGTGCGGCCACGTGGGTCATTTTGAAGTGTGTTGTCACTCCAAGCAACATAAAGGACGGGACTCTAGCCGCAGTTCAAGTCGTGGTCGTGGAAACTCACGAACAAAACCCAGTCGTGGACGAAGAGGAGGAAATTCAAAGGAACAACGTGACCGGAGACACGAGTGCCGAGAACCGTGTAAGCAGTGATGATTTTTACGTGTTCAACGCCGGGAACACTGATGGACAGAACACTATGGAACTCATGATTGAAGATAAGCCCATAAACGTTGTTATAGACTCTGGTACTAGTTGTAATTTAATGTCGGAGGAAGTGTTTAATTTTGTGACAGGGGGCAATGCTAGATTGTTGGAGTGTAATAAGAGAGTTTATGCTTATGCTTCTGTAGAACCACTCCAGCTTAAGGGGAAGTATAGTTTTAATGTGCAGGTACTACAGACCCACAAATGCCTGTATACTGAGTTTTATGTAATGTGCGGTAAAGCAGCAACGTTACTAGGCCGCGAAGCCTCCGAGTTGCTGGGCGTGTTAAAGGTTGGCGTGTCCATTAACAGCTGTGATGTTGAATCTGATGACATGGAAAACCTTGCAAACCAAATTGGCAGAAAGGCCCTACTAAAGACCAAATTCCCAAGAGTATTTCAAGGTCTTGGCAAGCTCAAAGGGTATCAGCTAGAAATCCACGTTGATGAGAATGTTCAACCAGTCGCTCAGCCAGTACGCAGAATTCCCTTTAGTAGAGGAGCTAAAGTCACTGAGAAGCTAGAAGAATTGCTCAAACTTGACGTCATTGAAAAGGTGAAGGGACCAACCAGCTGGGTGAATCCCTTAGTTGTAGTTGAGAAGCCAAATGGTGACATCAGAATATGTCTTGACATGAGGCAAGCAAATCAGGTCATTGTACGGGAGAAACAGCCAGTTCCAACGGTTGAAGAGACACTTCAAAAGGTCTCCTATGCCAAAGTTTTCTCCAAGCTAGATCTAAGTATGGCTTTCCACCAAATTGAGTTAGATCCACACGCTAGGGACATTACAACATTTGCTGCGCCTGATGGTTTATGCAGGTACAAGCGCTTACTCTTTGGCGTGAACATGGCCACGGAAAAATTCCAGCAAATCGTGTGGCAAGTATATAAAGGCTGCCCTGGTGCATACAACCTCCATGATGACCTGCGAGTCGTCGGGGCAGACCACAAAGCACACGATGAGAACTTAGACAGGGTCATGCGCAAACTGGAGGAATCTGACCTCACCCTGAACTATATAAGTGTGACATTGGTGTAAGTAGCATGGTTTACATGGGTGATGTACTCTCTGATGAAGGACTGAAAGTCTCAAGTGAGCGAGTGAAAGCTATCGTTGAGGCACCAACGCCCCAGAACCAGACTGAAGTAAGAAGTTTCCTTGGGTCAGTTCAATTTTGCGCGAAGTTCATCCCAAACTTTGCAACCATATCAAGTCCATTGTCGGACCTAACCAGCAAAGATGTTAAGTGGCAGTGGGGTGCAAAAGAGAGCAAAGCCTTTCAAGAAATCAAAGACCTGCTAACTAGAGCACCAGTGATGGCCTACCACAGACAAGGTGCCACGACACGCCTCACAACCGATGCCTCTCCTGTTGGAGTTGAAGCGATCCTGGAGCAGAAACAAGAAGACGGGACCTACAGGCCAATATATTACGCTAGCCGAAAGCTTAGCAAAGTTAAAGCAAGATACTCCCAATTTGAAAGAGAAGCTCTAGCTGTCAGATGGGCTTGCGAGAAGTTTTACCTGACCTATACGGAATTAAATTCGAGATCCGCACTAACCACGAGCCGCTAGTCACAGTACTCAGTGCAAAGTCTAAGCCTCAATCTGCCCGGACAGAAAGGTGGCTCCCGTACTTGCAGCAATTCCAATACACGTTAACACAGATACCAGGCAAAGCTAATGCAGCAGTTGTCCTCAGCCGCCTGCCCGTTGGCTCAACTCAAGATGAGGACACCCGAGAAACTGAAGATTTTGCATACAGTGTGGCAAGTGCAGCAGTGCCAGCCGCTTTACTGCCGAAGCAAGTCGAGACTGCTACAGCAAATGACCTTACAGATAGCGCGCAAAGCTGTAACGACCGGTGACTGGACCCAGTTGTCAGGCACCATCTACAAAGCAATTAAAGAAGAACTGTGGGTAGTAGGACAAGTATTGATGAGAGGAACTCGTATTGTGATCCCTCAGAGCCTTTGGAAACAAACCATCATGTTGGCACACGAAGATCATCAGGGCATGGTCTGTACTAAAGTCAGGTTGCGAGAGAAAGTGTGGTGGCTGCAAATGGACAAGGTGGAGGATGCCATATGTTCTTGCCATCCCTGTCAGCTTGTAGGACCAAGAGCAAAACCAGAACCCGTGATGTCAAGCAGTCTGCCTGATGGGCCCTGGCAGGAGATCTCAGTTGATGTTCTTGAGATCTCAAGTAGTGAACACCTCTTGGTAGTTGTCGACTATTATTCTCGTTGGCTCGAGGCCATTCTCCTGAAGAAGACAGATGTTCAACTCGTGATAAAGAGTATGGGAGCTATTTTCAGAACACATGGATTACCAGAAGCTCTACGCAGTGACAATGGACCACCATTTGCGTCGAAGGAATTTGAGGGCTTCCTAGAATACTTGGGTATAAGCCACAAGAAGGGCGTACCCTATTGGCCACAGAGCAACGGAGAAGTGGAGCGTGGCAATGAAGCAATTCTGAAGATTGAGCGAATTGCTCGCTTTGAAGGGAAAGATTGGAGAAAAGCACTTGAGAACTTTCTCTTCCAGTATAGAGTTACCCCACATACTGTTACTGGAGTGTCGCCCGCAGAACTACTGATGAGGAGGAAACTGCGCGACAAGCTTCCTCGAGTTGAATTCTCCAAAGACCGTACAACGGAAGGATATTAGCAACAGCTGTTGAGAGAGAGAGAGACAGTCGTGCAAAACTCTACCAAAAGGAATATGCAGACGGAACACGAGGAGCTAAACATAGCAATATTGAGGAGGGCGACAAAGGTCTATTAAAGCAGACACGTGAAAACAAGCTCTCACCGAACTATGAGCCAGAAGCTTACACTGCCACTCGCAAAGATGGAAATGCTGCTATCTTACAAGACGCAAATGGGAACAATAAGATGCGCAACATTGCTCACATGAAGAAGTTTGTCGATCCTGAAACTGTTGACATGCAGAGGGGAAATAGATCCGCAGCCACACCTAGCCGAGAAGTCAGTGCAGCCCGAACAGGATCACCCAAATCCCAGTGCTAGTCAACCGGCAGCAGATACAGGGGGAGCTCCACCTAACCCCTTGCCTTCAGTCGCTTTGCGCCTTGTGTGTGCCAGGCAAGCGCGCGCCTGGATGTAAGATTATGTGTGCGCATAGTTTAAATTATTCATAAGAAAATAAGAGACTCTGAACTTTCTGTTGAACACTTTATTAGTCACTTCGAGATTGTTATCTCTACATTCATAAGCTTTTATGGATTTACTTGTTTGTTTTTGTAATAACTTAGGGGCAGATGTAGTGTCCCGTATGTTCATTGTGACTGTTTCATTATTATGGGATATGTTGTAGCGAGCATGTGGTCTCGATATGTCAAACGAGACCTATGTCCAACACACATGTTGTTGTTATGAACCGAATTGTTTAGTGTATCAGGACGAAGACACCACACACATATATTAAAAGTTTAGCTTAAAATATGGGAAGAAAACAGAAACAATCAGCACAGTTACGGTACGGTTTCTTTTTTTTTTTACTTTTCGGTCGAGATAGACTCTGGCAAAATCCTCACCAGCGTGTGGCAAGAGGAGGGTAACTTTGAAGTCCTGAAACGCCGCCATATCCAAATATATCCAGTCTTTAGTCTTTTGCTGTGTTTTGGAAAAGCTGTTAATTTTCAACATATGTGAAACTTAGAGTGCAGTAATGTGGAGCTCTCAGTAAAAGAAGCAGCGGAACGCAACTTGAATTGGTCAGTAATATAAGGCGGCAAATAACTAAATTCGACACTGTCTTACTTCACTCAAACTGGAGCAGCTTACGACAAAAATTCGGAAGTAAAATTTCAACAGACATAAACGTATCGAGTTGTGGGCCAAAATTATCAAACATTTCGGGAATTTCGAGCGCCATTTCCCCGCGCTACATCCGCAAAAATCCTCGCAGCATGTACGCGCGTGTGCCGCACATGATGGCGCAATTTGTTCTGATCTAAAAATAGAAAAATTGTCCCATATCATAGGGACAGCCCCAATACTAGAAATGGCGCGCGCTTACGATGTCCGTCCCCGATTATGGCTCCTGGTGGTAATTAACACCTAGTGCAGTGACTTCATCTGGCCAACAAAATGGCAGTGTTTTCTCGTTTCTCCGAAGTTTGGAAGGAACATTCGGGAAAAAAAATTGATGATGAAATTCCTGAGAAGAAGAAATTTAAGAGCATTTATTATATCTCTCAGTTAGTACGCGCGCTATGATTGGTCAATGTAGCAGGCCGTACTTTCCTGTACGGCCCGCCAAAATTTAAACCTGTTTTTGTTGACAAAGTGATTCGTGATTTTTCGCCAAGTGTTCTTAACGTTTGTAGCAAGTTAAAGTTTAAAACTTTCTTTTACCCTAAATTGTGTATTAAGGCAAGCTAACAAAGCGATTTCAAATTGACTCGTTTTGCTTTCCACGTGCTTCAGAAATTTAAAGCAGTTCCTCGTGAATAGAAATCGTTCCCCAATCCGTCAGGCACACAATAGAGATATAATCAATATCTTACTAAACTCGTTTTCTCGGTCCATACTATAAGTTACGGATCCTCGTTTTTCCCCTCCGATTTATGGCCCAAGCGCGCTTCGCGCTTGGGCCATAAATTGGAGGGGAAAAAACCCGGTCCGTAACTTTCAGTACGGACCTCGAACTCGGTTAGTAAGGGGTATTTACTGTTCCTTGAAGTTAAGACCTCGAAAATGTTAATTGAAAATGATGAGCGCGCGTACGGCACAACTGCAAATTTCAAATAAAAATTCAGTCGTTTCTAAAGCGCGTAATTAATACTAAGACGAGAAATAATTGGAAAACGTTATTTGAATTCTTTTTAAACAAGAGAATAGGATCATGATTTCTTGTATTAAAACAATTAGTTTTCCGCTCTTGATTTCTATGAGGTGTTCAAGTTGATGAGGCCGAGTGGAAATCAAGAGCGAATTGTAAAATAGATCATAGATCATAGATGACGTCAAAATGTGGTAAAAATATATATAAGAATAAGAGGAATAAGAATAATATTCTTATATATAAGAATATATATGAATATATGTGCTGTGCTATATAAGTTTTAATTATTATCATTATTATTATTATTATTATTATTATTATAATTATAAGAACAAAAAAGTGGCACACGAGGCGATCCGCGTGTGTCACTTATGTTCTTACCACATTTTCATTCTGTGATTTATTACTGAAAAGGGGCTCAGCCTGACATGGAATCTACTTGTTTTTATATAAGAAAGAAAAAAATCAAAGTGGCTGTGAGCCACTGAACTTGGAAAATATATCATGAAAGGGTGTTATGAGGCATTGTTAATTTAGGAACTACTTGTGATGTGAGGGCAGTCTAGTTTTCGAGCAAGTCCATAAAGCCTTTTTCCATTCAGGGGTGTGTTATGAAAATGAAAAAGTTCAACGTTAAGAAACTGTTTGTTACTAAGGCCCGCGTACACGTTTTAAATTACATGTAACTGTACATGTCTTCCTTGTGCTGTAGTCAAAAACGGCAAGATCATTTTGTTTGGTCAAAAGTGAAGTATAGACCGAACGAAACACTTGAGTCTGCGGTACGTAAATAAATAATTAATACTTTCGCCCTTCGATAACGGATGTAGAAGTAGCGCAGTGAGAGAAGCGCTGGCTCGCCATGCGAGACATTGGAAGTTCGAATCCTAGTGGTGCCTACTGATTTTTGTTCCTTTTCTTCTTCATTAATTTTTCTTTTTCTGTCAAGAAACCATTTTAACAAGTGTTCAAGAGTCTTAACTCTTGCATTTTTTAAAAAATGGAATTTTTCATGAACATCGCCATATCTTTCGGTGGCCACCTTAACGGAAGCCAGACCCAGTTTGGTCAGGAATAGGGCGAGGGTTTTATTTGGGAATGACCGGGACTAAATATATTCTTGTTATTGATACCTCAGTCTGTGAAAACTGACAATATATTTAAGGAAAAACATCTTTTTTTCCAAAACTGTTTTTTTTTTTTCTCCAAAATTCTGTACCACTGACCTATCTAAGTCTCTAACGAGCAAGATTTGGGCCGATAAACGATCTTATTATATGGCTGTGTCTCACAAGGACTGGGAACTACCGAATTCACGAATTTGATTGGCTGAAATCGATATTGACCGCGGTCTATATATTCCCGTCTAGACCGACATCTAGACCGGTTTCATTTTGCGTTGAAAAAGTAGCAAACTAAAATACAAAAATGTTTACCATTTTCTTTCATTTTCTTCTCAATCATTTATGGAAGTGCCAAAAAGCCTGATGACAAAAAAAAAGTAGAGAAGACGAACAAATTTCGGCCGGTTTAAGTTAAGCTCATCGCCGTTCCCAAGCAAAAGGTCAGCTTGTACAAACCAGTTACATTGAACGAATTAAAGTTTTCTTCTTTGCCATATAATAAACATCTTATTAACCGAGCTAAGTCGGTCTGTATGGGAGAATCTTGACCTCGGTCGTGTGTACAGACCTCACTGCGTTCGGTCTGTACTCACGACCTCGGTCAAGATTCTCTCATACAGACCTTCTGCTTGGTTAATAAGAGCTAATTATTAGATCTCTCAGTTAGTACGCGCACTGTGATTGGTCAATTTAGCGGGCCGTACTCTCCTGTACGGCCCGCTAAAATTTAAAGTTGGTTTTGTTGCCAAACTGTTCCGTGATTTATCGCTAAGTGTTCTTTACTTTATAGCAAGTGAGAGTTTATAACTTTCTTGTACTCTAAATTGTGTAATAAAGCATGCTAACGACTTAAAAGTTATTTCAAACTGACTCGTTGTGCTTTCGAGGTGCGTCAGAAATTTGAAGCCTTTCCGAGTCGGCGTGAATAGAAATCGTTTCCGAACCCGTCAGGATCACAGTAGAGATATAATAAATATCTTACTAACCTGGTCTTCTCGGTCCATACTGTAAGTTACGGATCCTCGTTTTTTCCCCTTCGATTTATGACCCGCGCGCTTCGTGCTTGGGCCATAAATCGAAGGAGAAAAAACTCGGTCCGTAACTTACAGTACTGACCTCGAACTCGGTTAGTAAGAGATATTTATGGATTTTAAGTTAAAGTTTCTGTTTTTTTCTAGTATTCTGAGTTCTCTTGTTCTCACTTAGAGCTGCGTATCGGAAACCATGTGTTCACCGGTGCAATAAACGACAGCTTTTTGACTAATCAGAGCACGCGTAGTATGTCAGTTATTTTATTATTAATTCATAAAAGGTCACAACAGTAGAGCTGTCCGAGAAGATAATACGCGAACTAATCAACTCAGCTAAATGAGATAGCACTCTTAAAAACATGTCATAATTGATCTAATTTTGGGGAAAAAGTCAAGAAATTAGGTGAATATGTAGATTATATAGGTGATTCTACCCCGAGGTCTAGAGATTTACCTTATATGCACCATTTTTACACTCTATATCTCTACACTACACTGCATTGCACTGTATTCCGTCGCACGGCACTACAACGCTCTATTGTACTGCACTTTGTTGCATTCTATTATTGGCCTTTTTGCCGCTAGCGTGCAATATTCCTTGGAAACTGATACCCGCATTACAATAGAAAATCATGACCCGTAAGGCCAAATTGTCAGCTTTATTTCATTTACAGATGCATGAGAACTGGTGGCAGAAGCGCTG